AAAGCATCCGGTATGTTTATCTAAAGTTAAACTAATTAAAAAGTTATTTCGAAAATATCATTGAATTGTAAATAAAAAGAAGGATACTAAAGCAAATGATATTGGGACGCACGGCATTTTGAACTCTCTCTTTCGAGAAGGATGGATCGAAAAAGTCTTCTGCAGACATTTGCGCTGTCGTACCTCCTGTTCTTTCAGGTTGTGATCGGCACAGATGAACCAAGCGAAAGTGTAAGTTACTTAAAGCCATTTAAAAATTATTGACTTTTGTAGAAATGTTTTTGAGTCAGGCACAAATGTAACTTCGTAAATCGAGTCGTGATAAGAACGGGCTGTTCGGATCAACATGTGGCGAGCAATTATTTCAAAACTGTATGAAAGTTTGCTGATTTTAGGGAGTTCACCCGCGACGATTTCTTTTTTTCAGTTATTATTAACAAGTCAAATATACAAAGTTCATACACCGCAGTTACATAGTTATTCGTCTCCTGGAGAAGTGATTCGTCGATCACAAGTCATCCAAGGAGTGTCTCTTAGGTTTCTTCCGAGTGTGACATGTAAAGTCGTAATTAGATGTTTTACAATTGCAGGAGATGAGGAAGAAGTGCTGTCCAGTAATAGCAGGCCCAGCAGGTCGAGATGGATTACCGGGACGAGATGGAGCACCAGGACGGGATGGACTACCGGGACGGGATGGTGCACCTGGACCCAAGGGGGACGTGGGACCACCAGGGCCAGAGGGAATCCAAGGAGAGCCTGGGACCCAAAGGAGATGGAAACAGTGTTCTTGGAACCACATCAATTCTGACACTGATAATGGACGAGTTCTGGTATGTATGCCGAGAAGGCAAATATTTGGTGCTCACTCTTAAAGTAGAGAAAGGTGGAGGAGAATATATAGCAGTCACCATTGTCAAGATTGAACAGGAAGACGAGAAGTGAGGTATCTGCTGTATCAATGCATCTAACAAATGTTTTGAACCTTTCCTTTCAAGGAATGCCCGTTTACCAAGGCTGCCTCAAACACATCCCTCCGGGTTGTTTACATGGGCAACCTTCACATCTACGATTGCACAAAGTGTTGCATGAGATGGTTTTTGACTTTCAACGACATCGAATGCATGGCTCCCGCTGCTATTGATGCTGTTGTGTACCAGAGTGTCGACCTAAATATTCCTCGCCCCGCCAACATAGAAGGCTACTGCACAGGAATCGCCAAAGGCCTGGTGCGTGTTGGCTTGCACGTCGGTCAGTGCCATGGTTTCGGTATTTCCAACGCCCACACCGGCTGGAATTCAGTAAGCAAGATCATTATTGAGGAGATTGAGCCCCCTGTTGCTTAAATATGCAGCGGTGCTCTTCCACCCAGGCGTATAGTTCTTGATTTATTATAGGGACAGTCAAATATTAAAATTGTAACTGGGCAGTAGCTAGGCTCGCTGAATTAAAGGTGTCTTGACTGTAATGGGTGGAACTCGTGACAAAATATGGAAATAAACCTGCGAAGAAACTAACTTTTGGTCGATGTGTTCTGCTTATCATTTTTTTTAAAACATAGCTGTACAATGGGAAATATTTTCTTTTTGGGAAGATGTAGATATTATTGCTCATTTTCCCACTTTGCATGACAATCCGCAGTGTTATAAGTATCTGGCGTCCTCATGTAGGCGTAACTTGATTGAATAATGTAACGTAACCAATTCGGGAGGAAATGTATCCCTTTGGTTCATAGAATAACATTTCTCCCAATAAAGCCGTGGCCAAATGGTTTATCAGACAGAATATTGAACATAAAACGAGCTAAAAGTTTTTTATCTGACTCCGCTATCACATGTCCACTTGAGTTTATTCAATTGAACATATTACAGACGTAGGCTACTGCGCTGGAATCAGTAAGGGCCTGGGGTGTGTTGGCTTGCACGTCGGTTAGTTCCATGGTTATAGCATTTTCAATGCCTACACCGGCTGGAATTCAGTCAGTAAAATCATCATTAAAGAACTTGAGCCGCCAGTTTTTTTGATTACCAGTACTTTTTCCGCCCAAGCGCATACTTCATGATTCATTATGAAGGCAGTTAATGTTCTATTATAACTGGGATAGTTAGGTACACTGAACTAACACGCTTTGTCTCATGAGAACATGTGAAAATGAATCTGCGAAGAAAGTTATTTTGCCTATCTAATTTATATTTATTTTTCTATTTTTTTTTCAAGCGAGATTGACAATAACTGCCCATTTTCCCTCTTAGGATGACAATCCGCGCAGAAACGCGCTGTAGGTACATTGCTGGACGCAATATGTCCCTTACATGATAAATCATAATATGCCCCAAGCTCGCAACAAGACCAGAAATATTTCCCTATTTTAAAATGTGTTACGCAACATCCGATTTAATGATTGGGAACAATCACCAAAACACTCAAAATTGGTTTTGAATTACCAAAAAACTGAATATCTTGATCTATCTGACCAAAAAACATTGAGCAGTTGCCAGCAGAAAAAAAAGATTTAAGCGGATGTGTTTGTCTAAAGGGAAAGTACTAATAAAAAATGTTTGCTAGCATAATAGCATTATAGATGAAACTTATTCAAAAGAAATTAGTAAAGCTCTCTTAGGAAGGATGGATCGATCAAAAATCTTTAGTCCCTATCTCCTGTTCACTTCACTCTTTTCATCTTACACAAATCGTCAACACCAGCCCAGGGGAATGGAAACAATCCATCAAAAGGAATGGTCAGATTGATAGAAATACCACAGATAAGAAAAGCTTATCTATGAAACATATTCATTCTGCATTTCGAAAAGATATTTTTGAGCCGCCATTAACAGAGAGTAGGATTTTAGCATACAGTTTTTAAAACATCCACCCTTATCCACCCTTTGTTCAATTCCCATAGTTATGGTATGCAGGATCTGACTAGTGTATGATCTAATTGGTGATCGAGTTCTTTGTGGCTCATTGGCAAAGCATCCGAACGCGAGACCAGAGGCACTAAGACTCAAATCTTCGAGGGGGTAATTTCTCTTGACAGCCTCCGAAATGTTACGCGCCACAAACTCATGAAACTTTAATTATTCTTTCAACCATAGTTTGTTATTAGCCCTTGCAGTCATTTCACAAACACTCCTGAATTGATCTCGGCCAGAACTGGTTTTGTTTAACAATAGGCAGAGAGTTCTTTCATCCGCGATTAACACTCTAGATTGTATATTTCTTTCCTCGAGGTGCCCTCTTCTTTTCGCTCTCTCATCTTTTGAATGCATAATATTTAAACTGTTCATAAACTTGACAAAATAACTGTGGCAGATAAAAGCAATGCAAATGATAGGCTATTATTTAACAAAGCTGACTTAAGGGAAGTCATCGTGGGAGAGTCAGTGTTTGTCGCAGTCAAACGCATAGCACGCGATTAGACCCCCCTTGGCTAATTGGACCTTTCCGATTAAGCACACTCGTATGTATCATTTTCATCACCTTGGCTAGATTGGACAGATTTGTCAGAATCATCATGGAATTGAAAATTATTCAATAAAGTAGATGTGAGTTGTGGTGAATATTTACCTTACTGCCTCGTGGCTTAGTAAGTATTCACCACTTTCACCTTTATTATGGTCAATTTTGCTCTTCGAATATATCACTCGAAAACTAGAAATTTACTCAAGTCAGTGCTGAGAAAAACGATCGGAAAAGCGATTTACTCTCATCGGTTGGTTGGAGATAAAAAGTACTCGCGAACATCTCCGAGACTCCTGATCGGTGCGTACAAATGCAGAGACTGTTTATTACATGCGATTTAGCTCCACTACAGGACACCTCGTAGAATTCTTCCATCCCCTTAAACTGTTAATTTCATTTTGGAATTTAGCGATCCAATTTTCGCATTTTCGCCGAAAAAAAAAATTAATAATAAGCAGATCTGTTTGTCAAGAGTGAAAGTAATCAGCCGCTTATAGTGCTCGCGATTATCTCCGAGACCTGTGGGGGCGTGCTGCGTCAGGCATCCTTTCATCGAAAAAGACATTGTTAAACAATCCCCCTATGAGGCCTTCAACTCATTTACTAAGTTATTACAATCAGAAAAGATCAGTGCGTACATGTGTAGAGGCTGTTTATTACGAAACGAACTACAGAGGAAAATGAGTTGAGTAGCAGGTCTAGAATGGGTCTGTTGCCACAAAAGCACGCATCAAAAACTCGTTGCACTCTTTTCAATCGTTTGAGATTAATTAGCATATGACCATAATAATAATAATCATAATCAATTAAACTACCGACAAATATTTATTTGCGTGGTGATTCGGCATGTGCAAAAGACCAGCGATCTATATTGAATCACGCTTCGCGGATATTATTATATCCACCTTAACCATTGATCTGGACTTTTCAATTCACTTCGTGATGCGCGGCAAATAAACTGTTTAAACTATCGACAAAAAAGAATTGCATTGTCAGCAAACACTCTTCACCAATTTTTAGTTACAAACAAATTTGGAATCTCGATCTGTCTTACAATCCAACTTTTTTATTTTTCGGCGAAAAAGATAAAAAATAATTAAACAGATCTGTTTGTCAAGAGTGAAAGTAATCAGCTGCTTGTAGTGCTCGTGACCATCTCCGAGACCTGTGTTGTGAAAAACAAATTCTATTTTATGGGGCGTGCTGCGTCAGACGTTCTTTTATCGAAAGTCATTGTTAAACAATCCCTCTATGAGGCCTTCAACTCATTTACTAAGTTATTACAATCAGAAAAGATCAGTGCGCACATATGTAAAGGCTGTTTATTACAAAACGAACTACAGAGGAAAATGAGTTGAGTAGCAGGTCTAGAAAGGGTCTGTTGCCACAAAAGCACGCATCAAAAACTCGTTGCACTCTTTTCAATCGTTTGAGATTAATTAGCATATGACCATAATAATAATAATAATAATAATAATCAATTAAACTACCGACAAATATTTATTTGCGTGGTGATTCCGCATGTGCAAAGACCGGCGATCTATATTGAATCACGCTTCGCGGATATTATTATATCCACTTTAACCATTAATTTAAACTTTTCAATTCACTTCGTAATGCGCGGCAAATAAACTGTTTAAACTATCGACAAAAAAATAATTGCATTGTCAACACACACCCCTCACCAATTTTTAGCTGCAAACAAATTCGGAATCTCGGTCTGTCTTACAATCCCACTTTTTCTATTTTTCGGCGAAAAAGATAAAAAATAATTAAGCAGATCTGTTTGTCAAGAGCGAAAGTAGTCAGCTGCTTGTACTGCTCGCGACCATCTCCGAGACAGCCACTTTGCACTCTCGAAAAGAATCGTACCTGTTTTGTGAAAAACAGATTCTATTTTATGAGGCGTGCTGCGTCAGGCATCCTTTCATCGAAAAAGACATTGTTAAACAATCCCTCTATGAGGCCTTCAACTTAGTTAATAAGTTATTACAATTAGAAAAGATCAGTACGTACATGTGTAGAGGCTGTTTATTACAAAACGAACTACAGGAGAAAATGAGTTGACTGGCAGGTCTAGAATGGGTCTGTTGCCACAAAAGCACGCATCAAAAACTCGTTGCACTCTTTTCAATCGTTTGAGATTAATTAGCATATGACCATAATAATAATAATAATAATAATCAATTAAAAACCGACAAATATTTATTTGCGTGGTGATTCGGCATGTGCAAAGACCAACGATCTATATTGAATCACGCTTCGCGGATATTATTATATCCACCTTAACCATTAATTTAAACTTTTTAATTCATTTCGTGACGCGCGGCAAACAAACTGTTTAAACTAACGACAAAAATACTTTATTGCCTGGTCTACAAACACCCTTCACGACGCCAATTTTTAGTCACAAACAAATTCGGAATCTCGATCTGTCCTACAATCCAATTTTTTTTTCGGCGAAAAAGATAAAAAATAAGCAGATCTGTTTGATAGGAGTGAAAGTAATCAGCTGCCTGGAGTAGTGCTAACGACCATCTCCGAGGCAGCCACTTTGCATTCGCGAAAAGAATCGAACCTGTATGGTGGTAGACAAATTCTATTTTATGGGGCGTGCTGCGTCAGACGTTCTTTCATCTAAAAGACGTTGTTAAACAATCCCTCCATGAGGCCTTCCACTCAGTTACTAAGTTATTACAATTAGAAAAGATCAGTATGTACATGTGTAGAGGCTGTTTATTTCAAAACGAACTACAAGGGAAATTGAGTTGAGTAGCAGGTCTAGAATAGGTCTCTTGCCACAAAAGCACGCATCAAAAACTCGTTGCACTCTTTTCAATCGTTAAAGATTAATTAGCATATGACGATAATGATAATGATAATAATAATTAAAATGGTAATCAATTGATGCGGCTTGTGCAAAGACTGCTTTAGCGAAAAAAAAAGCAGGTATGTTTATCTAAAGTTTAACTAATTAAAAAGTTATTTCGAAAATATCATTTAATTGTTAATGAAAAGAAGCATACTAAAACAAATGATATTGGGACGCAAGGTATTTTGAACTCTCTCTCTCAAGAAGGATGGATCGGAAAAAACTTTTGCAGACATTTGCGCTGTCGTACCTCCTTTTTTTTCAGCTTGTGATCGGCACAGATGAACTAAAGGAAAGAGTAAGTTACTTAAAGCCATGTAAAGTATTCATTTTTGTAGAAACGTTTTTGAGTCAGGCACAAATTTAACTTCGACATTCGAGTCGTGGTAAGAACGGGCTGTTCGGATCAGGATGTGGCGAGCAATTCTTTCAAAACTGTATGAAAATTTCCACTATCAGACTATTGTCGGGAGTTCACTTGTAAGGACTTATTTTTTCAGGTGTTATTAACAGGTCAAATATATAGACTTAATTCACCGCAGTTACAGAGTTACAAAGTTATTCGTCTCCTGGAGAAGTGATCGTCGATCACAAGTCATCCAAGGAGTGTCTCTTGGGTTTCTTCAGAGAGTGGCATGTAATGTCGCAATTAAGTGTTTTACAATTGCAGGAGATAAGGGAAAAAGGCTGTCCAGTAAAAGCAGGCCCAGCAGGTCGAGATGGATTACCGGGACGAGATGGAGCACCAGGACGGGATGGACTGCCGGGACGGGATGGTGCACCTGGACCCAAGGGGGAAGTGGGACCACCAGGGCCAGCGGGAATCCAAGGAGAGCCTGGGACCCAAAGGAGATGGAAACAGTGTTTTTGGAACCACATCAATTCTGAGACTGATAATGGAAAAGTTCTGGTATGTATTCCGAGAAGGCAAATAGTTGGTGCTCACTCTTACAGTAGAGAAAGGTGGAGGGGGATATATAGCAGTCATCATTGTCAAGATTGAACAGGAAGACGAAAAAAGAGATATTTACTGCATCAATGCATCTAATAAATTGTTTTGAACCTTTTCTTTTAAGGAATGTCCGTTCACCAAGGCTGCCCCAAACACATACCTCCGTGTTGTTTACATAGGCAACCTTCGCATCGCCGGTTGCACAAACTGTTGCATGAGATGGTTTTTAACCTTCAACGACATCGAATGCAAGGCTCCCGCTGCTATTGATGCTGTTGTCTACCAGAATGTCGACCTGAATATCCATCGCCCCGCCAACGTAGAGGGCTACTGCACAGGAATCGGCAAAGGCCTCGTGCGTGTTGGCCTGCACGTCGGTCAGTGCCATGGTTTTGGTATTTTCAACGCTTACACCGGCTGGAATTCAGTAAGCAGGATCGTTATTGAAGAGATTGAGCCTCCTGTTGCTTAAATAGGCAGCAGTGCTCTTTCCACCCGCTAGTTCTTGATTTATCATAGGGGCAGTCGAATGTTGAATTGTAACTGCCGGGTAGTTAGGCTCACTGTGTTAAGGGTGTCTTAACTGTATTGGGTGGAACTCATCACAAAACATGGAAATAAACCTGCGAAGAAACTTACTTTTGGTTCATGTGTTCTTTTTATCATTTTGATGAAACACAGCTGTACATTGGGAAACATTTCCACTTTGGGAAGACAGACATTATTGCTCATTTTCCCACTTTGTATGACAATCCGCGGTGTTATAGGTATGTTGCGTCCTCATGTAGGCGTAACTTGATTGAATAAATGTGACATAATCGATTCGGGAGGAAATGGGTCCCTTTCATTCATAGAATAATGATTTATCAGACAGAATATTGAATATTAAACGAGCTGAAAGTATTCTATGTGACTTTGCTATCACATATCCACCCAAGTTTACTCAACTGAGCAAATTGCAGATGTTTGAAAGTAAAGCATTCTCAGTGAAAGTCCTCTGAATAATTTCTTGGTTTTCAGTATGAAATACATTATTGGATGGAGTGAGAGAGACTGCCTCACTGTGTATAATTACAACTGCATACTAAATTAAAAAAAAAAATTAGGAGGCAAATGCTGCCATATTAGATTTGCCATAGTTTCAAGTTGTCCCTGGTACTCTTAAAAGACTTAAGTTTCTTGCTTTAGGTTTACTCTCCCATCGAATCTTTTATATCTGAGTACCTCATAATTCCCACGTTCAAAACCTTGGCTGAAAAAGTTCGGCAAATAAAAGCGTATAGTCAAATATTACCCACCGAAGTAGAAGTGGGTAGAGGTGGATATTTACCTTACGGCTTGGTAAATATCAACCACTTTCACAGACTCTAGAGTGAGTTATTATTTTCGAATATACCTCACAAGAAAAGTGTAAAGAAACATTATCGGAACACGAACTCTTGATTAGGCATCTCTGAAATAGCCAATCAGCGCGCGCTAAAAGCACCATACCTGCGTGGTATACACAAACAAATTTTGTCTAACAGGTCGAGCCGCCCCACGCGTTCTTTTATCCACTGAAAAACATTATTAAAAATCCCTCTATGAGGCCTTCCACTCCGTAAATAAGTGTTTACAGTTGTCTGTCTACTAATTAAACCAGAAATGATCGATGCATACAAGTGCAGAGACTGTTTATTACATAACGTACTACAGGGGGAAATGAGTTGAATTAAAAGTCTACAGCACAGGAATCGCCAGAGGCTTGGTGCGTGTTGGTTTGCACGTCAGTTAGTGCCATAGTTTTGGTATTTTCAATGTCCACACCGGCTGGAATTCAGTCAGTAGAATCATCATTTAGAAGATTGAGCCCCATGTTGCTTTAATAGGCAGTGCTCTTTCCACCCAAGCATATAGTTCTCGATTCATTACAAGCGCAACTTATGTTATATTGTAACCGTGGATTAGTTAGGTACAAACGCTGACTCGACTGAACAAGGGGGAAGTCACCACAAAATATTACAATAAATCTGCGAATAAACTTATGTTTGGTCCATCAGTCTTTCATAAGATTACAACATACGATGCAAAAAGTACCTTTGAGAATAGATTAGCACAATAGCTCATATTTACTCCTTACACGACGCACCGTGGATTGAATAAATGTGACATATTCTGGACACAATATGTCCCCTAAACGAAATAATGTTCTCTCTAATTAGCCATGGCTCAAACATGTTTCAGTATTTGGCCAATGAACGAGCAAAAATCGTACTTTTGTTTACAACAAACAGGCGAAAGTCCTCTTTAATCAAGTATACTGCGACGGCAAATCATGAAGTGCGCTACATCAGTTATTAAGCGAGTTTCCGTGGGAATGTTGAGGAAAAAGTCGTGCCTTTAATATAATTAAATCGACGCAAAGTCTCTGCTGCGTACTGTTGTGGTGGGGCAATTGTCACTCCTCCTTAACACTTTCCTAACGTATATTAATATACATAAATACATTAACCAGGAGCATATTAGTTCTCCTGACAATAACTCACTATATTGAGCACTTGTAAAGCAAGGCTGATTTTCAAAAATGGCTTCATGGCAAGATTCATGGGAGAAACGCTGTAAAGACCACCATGCTCAGCAGGTCGAGATGGATTACCGAGAAGAGAAGGAGCGCTAGGACGGGATGGACTACCGGGACGGGATGGCGCACCAGGGCTCAAGGGGAAGTGGGAGCACCAAGGCCGCCAGAACCTGGGACCTAAAAGAGATGGAAACAGTGTTTTTGTAAGCACATCAGTTTAGACATTGATGTTGGACGAGTTGTGGTATGTATTCCAAGAAGAAAAATCGTCGGTGCTCACTCAAACAGCAGAAAAATAGGGAGGGGATAGAGGGTCACTATTGTCAAAATTTGAAGAGGAAGAGAAGAAATGTTATCGTATCTGCTAGGCAAATGAATTTTATCGTTTTTTAAAATCTTTTTCAGAGAAATGTTCGTTCAAACCTTCCCCAAACATATTCCTTTATTCAGTTTTCATGGGCACCATCCGCACAGCGGTTATAAACTGTTTCATGGGATGGTTTTTCACCCTCCGTGACATCGTATGCGGCATACCTGCTCTCATTGATGCCGTTGTGTACTAGAGTGTCGATCTCTACATCCATCACTAGGCCAGTTTAGAAGGCTAATGCACTAAAATGGGCAAAGACCTGGTGCGTGTTAGCTTGAACGTCGGTTAGTGTTATAGCTATGCCATTTCAACGCTTACACCGGATGGAATTCAGTCAGCAGGATCATTAATGAGGGGCTTGAGATAAGATAAGATAAAGATAAGATACTTTATTAACCACCATTGCAGCCATAGGCTGAATTACGGGATATTTACAAATACTGATGATAACAAAAGAGAGAATAAGAAAAATTATCTACATCTTATAGACATGGCTAAAATTAAAACTGTTCTTTAAACGCTCGGTTTTACATAGGGGGAGAGTGAAATCACTTTTGCGTCTCAGTGCATATTTACAACTCTTCCTTCGGGGGAGGAGGCTATGGAGATTGTGGGTGGGGTTACAGACGATCTCGTCAAACAGATCGATTGAAATCTTTTCTCTCCTCTCATGAAGTTTCGGTAGGCCAACTGTTTCTAGTGCTACACTATATGAAAGGTCAGGATAGATGATTCTGAATGCCCTTCTTTGGATCCGTTCCAAATCTTCACTGATGTAGTTTGGTAGAGAACGATGGAATACAGGACTTGTGTATTCCAGGACGGGCCTAATACATATCACATAGAATTGCACCAGTTCACTTGGTGCCACTTCAGATCTCTTGAGTTGACGTAAAAAGTAGAGACGAGAGGAACATTTTTCTAATTAGTTCGGAGGTGTGCATGTTCCACTTTAAATCATGGCTAATGGTCACGCCTAGCAATTTGGCACTGGTGACTAATTCAAGGGGTTTGCCATTTAGAACTAGGGGTTCGAAATCGTGGTTGCTGTTGGAAAAGCCAATTCGAAGTTCTTTGCACTTGGCCTCATTCAGTTGGAACCCATCGAGACTCGCTTGTCTCGAAAGGTCATCCACAGCTTCTTGGAGTTTGCTCTTATTACCCTTTGTAACTATTTCGGAACAAGATGTATCATTCACGTATTTCCACATATCAACTGGTGTGTCCAAGTCATTAATCATGACAAGAAATAACCAGGGGCCCAGTTTTGTTCCCTGGGGGCCAACGGATGGCACAGAGCGCCATTCAGAGTGACAATCCTGAGCAAGTTTAACTCTTTGTTTCCGGTCCATCAAGAAGTCAACAATCCAACCTTTGACTTGACTAGGAATATCATATGTTGTTAGTTTTTGAACAAGAACACTGTGATCGATAAGGTCAAAGGCCTTACGGAAATCGAGTAGGACTACTCTTTCCGTCGGTGTTAACAAGCCAATTATGCGTCATATTGACCAAGGCAAGTGTAGTAGACGATTTGGGAATAGTTCCAAATTGTCGAGGGTCGATTCTTTGTAACACAGCAGGTTTAACGTATTTCTCAACAATGTGATCTTCAGCGAGCTTAGACAGGATAGGCGTGAGGGAAATCGGACGGAGGTGCTTGTTAATGTCATTAATAGGCCTTTGTTTTGGCACCGGGACAACGTCAGCCTCTTTCCAAGAAGGCGGAAGGCGGGATTCGTGGAACGAGGAGTTGAGGATCGCAGAGACTGGACCCGCCAAGAGATCAGCGTTTTCCTTTAATAACCATGCGGGGATACCGTCTGGCCCATGTGCTTTCGAGGGGTTGAGCGCAGATAGTTTCATAAAAGTTGAAAACTCCGATATCATATTTACGGCATGACCTTCGTTGTTGGCTTGTGGTGGGTAAAAAGGATTGTGGGTAAGAGGCTCGAAAATCTGCATTTGGTTACTCCACCAAAGATTCGTCCTTTTGGGATAGACTTGATGAATTATTTCCGAACAATTCAAAAATAGCTTCCATTCACTCCAGTCAGGAAAACTGAATGTCCCGTTCGGGCATGTTATACAACCACTGGTTGGCAAGAACGCGTTATCAAAACAAGCGAAGTTTCGTTCTTTCGACCTTAAAGCAAAAGTATCGTTGTTCCATTTGAACGTGTTAATTGTAAGCATGTCTAAGAGACTAATCTTTTTTTCTTTTTTCGAGCAAGAGTGAGTACAATAAAGATTGATTATTTGAGACTGTTGTACACGCATATAGAAAATAACGCTACAAAAGCCGTAAGAAAAGATTGAAGTACTCTACACAGGAAGTTTAACCTAAGTTCCATGTTTTTTAGATCAAATATTATCCGGCCAGCCATCGAGAGACAAGGGTTGTAATGCATTGAATACAATAAAATAAAGGTATCAATTAAACGTGGTGACGTTGATAGCTTAGTGAGCAATACTGTCTTATATTCTTCGTCAAGATAAGACAGTTTTTACTGTTTTTAAACGTATTGATGAGGATGATTTTGTTAGAGGTCTGAGTGCATTTTCTGAGGGAATTAACAGAAACTGAAGGGTCTGAAAGCAAATAAACCTTTAACTCCTGAGATCCGATTGTTAATTCTCACCTTCAGCT